GAGCTTTTGCAGTGTGGACGCTCTCTTTCGGAAGAAGTTTTTTTGGAAGATCTCGTCTGGAAAAGTTTCTTTGGAAAGAAGCCTGCAGTCTAGACATAGCCTCAGTTTCAGCTTAGAATAGTCTTTATATAGAGAGAGAGATTCAAAGACCATCTGCTTTCTTTTTTTTTACAAAGCTTCAAATTTTTTACCCCTTTATTTTAATAAATACCCACAAAAAGCTTATTTGAAGGCATTCTGATATTGCAGTTAAAACAGAACTACTTTTCTCATTTACTGTTTGAAATCTGTACACTGTGCTGAAAGTCAAGAGGTTTTTTTCATTCTTTTTTAAATTCTTAAATCTGCACATTTTTGAAAGAAACCCTTATGCTTTTTTAAAAAACTATTAGTTAAAAAACTAGCTTAAGAGGCTACTGCATACACAAAGTTTCAGAATGTGTATTTAATTACTGTATCCTCTGCTAAACCTGGTCTATGCATAAACTTTCACCGGTGTTATTTTAATTTAATTTTATTAAATAAAGCCCTATTTCAAACTACCTGTTATTCCTCCTGCAATGAGGTTTAACAGGTAGTTCGAAATAGGGTTTTATTTTGAACGCCCGTTTCCCTGCCGTGTGTAGATGTGGGCAGCTAGTCCGGGCTTGTAAATTTAAAAAATGGCACCCGGCCGGGAACATGCAAATCAAGCTCAGGATATTTAAATCCCAGGCTTGATTTGCAATTCCGAATGCCTACATTTGCAGCCCTAGTTCGAATTAGGTTGCAAGTGTAGACATACCCTCACAGAGTCTGATAATAGAGAAATAAAGTCATTGAAAAAGGAAGTTCATATATGTTCTTTAGAGCACACATGTAATCAAACTCTCCAAATTCCTTACTAACATTGCCCCTGTAGGCACATCATGGCCCACCTAGCACATGGGGTCATGTCGCTTCTGATCAGTCATCAGTCCTGGTGAGATAATCAGTTCTTTGTTCATTAGTGCTAAAATTGCATAATACCAGTTCAGACTCTCCAGACTTCAAAATATAATACATTGAAATGTTGTGATTCTGTGACAAAATAACCCTGTATTGTACTTACAACAGTGAGACCTGTACAGGCAGTCCCCGAGTTACGCGGATCCGACTTACGTCAGATCCGCAGTTACGAACTGGGATTTCTTGCCACGGAGAACTAGAGCAGCGGGACGCCTGGTCCCGCCGCCCGCCTTCTCCGGGGCGAGAAAAGCTGCTCCCCGTCTCCCTGGTCTGCTGGCAGAGCCAGCAGACCAGGGAGACGGGAGCAAAGCGGAGGAGCACCGGGGGCTGGACCCGCGGCCGCTTCCAGATCAGCTGGAAGCAGCGCGGGTCCTGCCGGGTGCTCCGCCGCTCTGTTCAGCGTCTCCCTGGTCTGCAGACCAGGGAGACGCCGAGCCAA